AGGAGTTTATGGAGTTGGGTTGGGAGTTCTCCCCCACTCGCCATTTTCTCCAGATGTGGTACCATCAGATTACCATCTTTTTCGTTCGCTGCAACACCATCTTAATGAGAAAACGTATGCAAATGTGGAAGGTGTTAAAGAGGACATCAACGTGATTTTTCCTTCAAAGCCAAGTGATTTCTTTAATCAGGACATTAACAACCTGATTGTGAGGTGGAAAAGCATCATCGATAAGAATGGAGACTATTTCATTTAATAAATGTTTTGTTTTGATATCTAAGTTGTACCAGATTTTTCATTTAAAAAAAGCGGCATTAATTTCTTGACGACCTAATAAATAAATAAATAAAATAAATATATGTGTGTTTTAACGTGCCACATAGCGGTAAAATTTAAATTTGTGCGCACGGTCTTGGTTTGGTATTGTTATTTTGAACTTTGTACGCGGGAACTATATAACCGACACTTAAATATGAAATGTAAAAGATGGGTGGGTGATCAGTGATAACCTCGTAGTTACATCATTCTTTGTATTTCTTTTGAAATCAACTCTAATTTTAACGTTAATAGCACATTGTACAAGTCACAAATGTTGATTGTACGTTGTGTATGTGTCCGCAGCATATGGTGCGGATATCCCAAGAGTTCTCATCCTTGCACAGCCTCTAGTCGTGACACCGGAAGTATGGTGACGTATTTCTTACGCGGCGTTTACTTGTCTAATTTTAGAAGGGGAAATAGTACGTATTTATTAGGGTAATGAATGCCTGAAGAGTAAAGAACTTGCATATGTGGAGACATTGACCTTTCACGAACATTTTGTAAAACTGTTTGCATCGCTGTCCTTCGCAGTTGGGCCGATTATGGGGAACGAAGCGTTATATAACTTCCGCTCTCTGTAAGACCCATTCATATGTTTTACATTTGAGTATGATTTTCTTTGTTTATGTGATGATTAAGATACAAAATATCAAGTGCTTATAAATCTCATTTGAAAATAAGCAAACTCAGAATTATGGGAGTGAGATAGATAATGAATTAGTTGGGATTGCCGAGTAAAGTTTTCCCCACTACGCCATTTTTGTTGGCTGTGACTAAACGGTGATTATTAATAATGTGTATTATTAAACTTAAGTATGCTATGATTTTTTTTAAATCTTCTAGACCAGTGAGAATAAATTTGTCTTCATAAACTGATTTATTGTGAATGGGGTTAAACATTTTTTGTACTTTGTCTCTTTGGATGGAAATACCAGGATATTGTGGGTGCTTATTTTTATAACAATTGTTATGTAGTCCTTTATTATATTTGTAACACCACACCCTTTACGCAGTCCTTTATTATACTTGTAACACCACAACCTTTATGCAGTCCTTTATTATATTTGTAACACCACAATCTTTATGCAGTCCTTTATTATATTTGTAACACCACACCCTTTACGCAGTCCTTTATTATACTTGTAACACCACAACCTGTATGCAGTCCTTTATTATATTTGTAACACCACAACCTTTATGCAGTCCTTTATTATATTTGTAACACCACAACCTTTATGCAGTCCTTTATTATATTTGTAACACCACAATCTTTATGCAGTCCTTTATTATATTTGTAACACCACAATCTTTATGAAGTCCTTTATTATACTTGTAACACCACAACCTTTATGCAGTCCTTTATTATATTTGTAACACCACAACCTTTATGCAGTCCTTTATTATATTTGTAACACCACAATCTTTATGCAGTCCTTTATTATATTTGTAACACCACAACCTTTATGCAGTCCTTTATTATATTTGTAACACCACAATCTTTATGCAGTCCTTTATTATATTTGTAACACCACAATGCAGTCCTTTATTATACTTGTAACACCAAAACCTTTAGGCAGTCCTTTATCATATTTATAACACCAAAACCTTTAGGCAGTCCTTTATCATATTTATAACACCAAAACCTTTAGGCAGTCCTTTATTATATTTGTAACACCACAACCTTTATGCAGTCCTTTATTATATTTGTAACACCAACACCTTTATGCAGTCCTTTATTATATTTGTAACACCACAACCTTTATGCAGTCCTTTATTATATTTGTAACACCACAACCTTTATGCAGTCCTTTATTATTTTTCAAGAGGAAGAATAGTTTTCTAACCATGTTATATCCGTCACATCCAGTGCCGATGATGCGTTCCTTGCAATGCAGAGTTCATCAGGCTGGCTGGGACACGACAAATAAGCTTCTTGTGATATAGACTCGTTTTGTATCTACTGAATGTTACAAAATAAAACAAGCATTTCAAGTCTACATGTTATTTAGTAATCCTGTGAATTAAGAAAGTAATGTCACATAAAACCTTCATTTATAACAAATCCATAGTCCATGTTGAAGGTTGGCCATATTTATACATTTGTAGAATTATAAACAACTCGCAAGGCCAAAGTACCTTTATAGGATAAATTTTTTTCTACATTAGAATAATTTTTGCTTTGAATGAAAAGGAACTTTGGTTGAATTTGTTTTGGATTACTTTAAAGTTCTTTTTTGTTTCATAAATTAGGTTTTATTGTACTGTTGTCACTATTAATGTTTCATATATTACGTTTTATTTTACTGTTGCCACTAGTAATGTTACATAAATGAAGTTTCATCTTACTGTTGTCACTATTAATGTTATACTTTAAATATGATGTTGAAGACATCATATTGCGAGTACATATCTATTCACCCCTTCCTCCCACAGATGCATATTTTGTTCATCTTTGGCTGATAGTGCTTTATTTTGTGTGTATCTACATGTGTGTGCATTCTTATTTCTATTACTCTGTTTTTTTCTAGATTACTAATACATATAAACTTTTCTCTTTAGATATAAGACAGCAGATCAATGAACAGTTAAAATGTTTGGACATGCGAGTGGAGGTCCAAGCTGCTATCGTTGCAGAAATTCAGGATTTCTTTCGCCGAAGAGCAGAGGTAGAGCTGGAATATTCACGCTCTCTAGAGAAGCTGTCGAGAAGTTTGACCTTACGACATAAGGCAGAGAAACAAAAGTAAGTTTTAAAGAGTTTTTGGTGATGTATTCAGTCTGATTGATTATTGTAATTGCCCATGTCGAAACAAAAAACGGTAGTGTAAGAAATCTACTGGAGATTTTTATGCTGTTCAGATTTATTTATATCGCTTATTACCCGAGTTTTTAAATTTAAAGCCCCATACAAAAGCTAGATAATTTATTAGTTCAACAAACATAAAAAAAATCCTATTGTTGATATTTTTATTTATCGTTATCTTGTTCTCCATTAGAACATCTCATATTCAAATAGTTTCAGTGCAATTTGAAAGGAGACCATTGATGCACTTTTGATAACAAGTTTAAAAGCCAAAAAGAAATGTTTTCAGTGGTTTTATCAATAACCAAGTTGCATCATTTGGGAATAAAAGCAATCAGACATTGGAAGTTACATTAAAGTGTGTTTGGACTATTAGTTTATACAGTTAAAATGTTAGGCTTAATTCAGCATAATATAACAGATTTATTTTATGTAGCATGTAATGTATGTTTAGTTTTTATTTCTAATTCTTGTTGATTTTATACATAAAAAGACATTGGATTTTTGGTTGCAACACTGTTAATGTACGTTTAATATCTCTTGCAGACGTGAGCAATGGCATTTGTTTTCTTCAAACTTATGTTGGGAACATTTGTTGTCGGCCACCAGAAAGGAGAGTCGAGATAGAGCTATTCTGAGTGAAATATTTGCCAATACTCTGACCAGTCGATTTGGAGAGATTGTGGAAGATGTACATAGAATGTACAAAAGGGTAATTCAGTGAACCGTACTTGTTTTGTCCAAAGTAAACATAGTGCTTTTTTATTTATCATGCTCCAGAAATGGTGATAAGATGAGATTGTTTGGTGTTGAAAGTAGGTTTCTCAGTAACAGCTAAAATTGTCTAATTGTCACCACTTGCTGTTAATGTCAGTGGTATAACTAATTCTATTTGAATATAAAAAAACGTGTTGGAGAGTTATTATTATTTACATTTAGCTAGATTTAGAACATAAAGTGTTTTTTTTTTACGGACAGACATACACACACCAAAAACAGAGCAGAAGAATTCTGTGTTTTATTGAAACTTTTCAGTCAGTAATGGGTTAATATGTGGGGTCATTTTATGTTGTCAGTGCCCCAAAATGTGCAGGATAACTCAGTTTAAATTTTTGTATTTTATGTTGTCAGTGCCCCAAAATGTAAAGGATAATTCTGTTTAAATTTTGTATTTTATGTTGTCAGTGCCCCAAAATGTAAAGGATAATTCTGTTTAAATTTTGTATTTTATGTTGTCATTGCCCCAAAATGTAATGGAGAATTCTGTTTAAATTTTGTATTTTATGTTGTCAGTGCCCCAAAATGTAAAGGATAATTCCATTTAAATTTTGTATTTTTATGTTGAAATAAGTAAATCACAATTATAGTTACACATGTATAACACCCTTAACAACAATGCAAGGGTTTCTGTGATTTTATAAATGAAACTAATTTTCATCAGTAATACTAGCAACTGTACCTGTTCCTCACATGCTTCATGAGAATGGCTGGACAGTACATGTGCATCATTCTTCATGCAGTGTTCTTAATAGGGGCAATCAAATGGGGCCAGGCATGGCCAGGTGGTTGGGGCACTTGAGTCACAATCTGAGGGTTGCGGGTTCGAATCCTAGTCACACCAAACATGCTCCCCTTTCGGCCGTGGGGGTGTTATAAAGTGACGGTCAATCCCACTATTCGTTGGTAAAAGAGTAGCCAGAGAGTTGGCGGTGAATGGTGATGACTAGCTGCCTTCCCTCTAGTTTTACACTGCTAAATTAGGGACGGCTAGCACAAATAGCCCTCATGTAGCTTTGCGTGAAATTCAAAAACAAACAAACAAGAGGCAGTCGACAAAGGTACCTATGGTATGTGCAACTTTAAACATCACTTTTATTTGGAGTTGCCTTCACATACTAAAACTGCCAAACTCTAACTGTTAGTCTGATTGCTTATGCATTTAAATTTGACCAATATATAAAATGTCATTAACATTTATTCAGCAATTTCCTCACAATACCTTATGATGTTAGGACATCAGACAGACAGATGCAAAATACTGCTTTATATATGTAGGTGACAGTTCATTCTGAGCCATCAGTTTTGCTTTATCTGTAACTGAAGTTTTGAAATTTCTAAAATTCTGTTAACATTTCCCATGAAAGAGAATCATACAATTGTAGGACAATACAGAAACTAACTTTTTACTTCATAGCAAAAAATATATTACTCAGTACTGAGGTCAGACAAGCAAAAGTTATTGCATTCTGTAAATTAGACCAAAATAAGACTTTATAGCTAGCATAACTTTTAGAAAGTCTCATAATCAAATAGCTTCAGTGCAATTTTAATCACAGTGAAAGGAGACCATTGATGCGCTTTTGATAACAAATTTAAAAGCCAAAAAGAAATATATTTTCCGTGGTTTTATCAGTAATCGAGTTGCATCATTTGAGAATAAAAGCAATCACACATTGGAAGTTACATTAAAGTGTGTTTGGACTATTAGTTTGGGTTATTCCAAGTGAATTAAAAAATGCATTTAAGTCATTGGTTAAAAGATTATAAGATTTCAAAAACACTTAGCTTCAAACCTGTTTTGCTCCTTTCAATCGAAAGAAACCTCATTAAATTTTATGTACTGCCGTTGTTTTCTACAAAAGGTTTTTGATAGCTTTGTTTTTAATTATTTAGTGCAAACATAATAGTTCTAAAGTCATTATGCACAATAACGAACATTAGTCTGCCTGCTGATAACTTAATGGTTGTGTAAAACATTTTTACTTTAGTGCCGAGAGATTGGAATGGAAAGTCACGAAGAACTTTTGAAGGTTTTACACGAACTTCATGCTGTAAGTTGCTCATGAAAAATTTAAGTCTTGTTTTATTTTGTTTTTTAAATAGTTACAATTTTTCGTTTTCAGATTATTAAATTTTGAGCTTTTTGATGTTTTGACAGCTTTTGCCAAAAGGTTTACCAGATGTTGTTTTACTACCTAACTGTGTATTTTAGTAACATTTTTCTAAGATTTGAAACATCTGAATAAGAATTTGTAGGGTATTTTGTATGATGTTTAGGGTTAGCAGGTGTCAAATAATTTTTGATGTGTACTTCAAGACATATACTTCTTCCTCACACCAAAAGTAAATGTAATTGTATATTTCCTTAGTAAAAATGTATTAATTTCTAAAGAATTAAGCTAAACCACCATTAAAAAAAAAAAAAAGAAACAAATGTGTTTTGACTTAACTGGGAAATAAAAGCTTTCAGTGGTGACCTAAATGGAAAAATAAGAGCGTTTAGTACTGACCTTAGTGGGAAAATAAGAGACTTGAGAAAGAAAACATATGAAAGACATTCCTTGTACATGAAAGTTTGTGATAAAAATAAGAAATCTTTAATTTTCAATTCAATAATAATATTACATTTTCTAGACACTAAGACAGCATCTAGAAAATATTTTGAATATTTCTTAACGGTTACTCTTGGAAAATAGAATTTTCTGGTTAAATCAAATTGACTTCAACTTTACTTTCAGTAAAGTACTATGTATGTAGATTGTCTCAAATTTGAAACTGTATATTGAATGATTTCATAAGTAGAACATAATAGCTCTAAGTTAAACTTAATATGTTATTTTAACATTTGTTTTTACTTGATGTGTTTGGGGTGATAAACATTTTGGTCTTTGCAGAGCATGAAGACATACCATGCTTACCATTCTGACGAACGACAGATGGAAAGTAAACTAAGACTTCTGGAAGCTCAGAAGACTAAACTTGAGCAGTCAGCTCCTGCTGAAAAACTACAACGACTGAAGAAATATCGATTGATTGTCAAGGATCTTCAGAAGGTACAGAACAATTACATTTTGTTGAGATGAGCTAGTAAAAAAATAAAGCTTGTGTCACATGAAGTAACAGAGTGGTAGAATTCCTTCATTAATTACACATTCATTAAGCTGTCAGGTCTCATCTTATATTGTAGTAAACTATTAATAATTAAATAAAATCTGACCAGTTCTAGTAGCATAGTTGAACTGTTAACCCAACAAAGAAGGGTCTTCCTATGGCCACGGGTCAAAGACCGTGTCGTTGCATTTGTAGACTTACATTCAAAATTTTATTCAACTATTCTTTTATGAATGTATGTCAATAAGTTTGGTATAAAATTGTAAATTATAATTCAAATTTTAGTGTTGTACATTAATTAATTTCTTAATCTAAAAGTAAATATTAAAAAAAAATCCTAAATATTGTTTTTCGTGTGTCACGTGGTATGTTGAATGCAGCATTTGTTCAGATTAGATGTTTGGTATATCCAAATATAATGTCTATAGTTTCTTACAAATTAGAAACTCAAATTACCCATATTGACAAGCTAGAATATAAAATAAGAATCTCCTATCTTTTTGTTGAGATATTGCTACATTTATTGAATCAAACACAGTGGCCCTGCCAACCTCTTTAAATTTTTGGAAATACTTGCTTACATACACCTACTTCTGTCTATGGCATGTGAATAACCAATCAAAAGCTAGGAATGTTTCCCACGTAGTTTTCTGAGCCTCTGCGAAGTATTTATGCGGGAAATCTTGGTCTTTCCTTGGTAGATTTCAAGTGTTAAGGTAAAACATTATTGAGCTCAAAAAATCATTTTTTTTTAAACCCAAATATGGCTTAGTTACTAAGCCTAATAAATTATAGTTAAATTTTGTGATATTGATATAGTAATTTATGATTTTTTTTTTTTGTTATTTCAAAATGCAAATATAAAATCTAAAAAAATTAGTTTGTTTTAAATTTTCCATGTGTGGAATTTGATAAGGCTTGACATATTACAGCAAGCAGCAAATGAATACAAAGTTCATAACTAGAAGAGATAATTGTTTTATTTATTTACTGTTCTATGCTTTAAGGAAAACTTAAGAACTTATTTGTAAATAGTGATAATGTAATGTATTATAATCGAAATGTGACTATTTTACAAGATACTGGTCCATTAGAACACGGCCAAGACCGGTCACTTTGTAAAAGCCAGTTTTATATTATTGGATACGGTAACACGGTTGCACAATATAGGCTAAACATTTGTGGTTTCATGTTATAATTTGTAGTAATTATAGAACGAAAGAAGCATAATTTATATCTTTTTCATATTTTTTATGATAGTTATGAGGTAACCCATACAGAGATGCAATAGTGAAAAATAACAGATAAAATATAAAAAAAAAATTTCTAAAAAAAAGGTTTGATAATTATCTGGAGGTTACAAAGATTTTGCGTGTGAAATTTGAAAAACTTTCCGATGCATAAAAGTATTTTTAATCTTAAAATCAAAATTACTTTTCATGTTGGATAGTCAACATTCAAAAAGAAAAATTAATGGGCAAATCATTACTAAAAAAATCTTAAAATTTAAAAAGAAATATGATCTTGTGTACAAAAGGCTTGTAATGCTTACTAATAATTTGAAAATTTCATGAAGATATGCTTACTGCATTAAAAGTTATAGCATGAAAACAATAACAAGCATAAAATGGTTACGAGGTCAGTCCCTGGGACTGAGCCCATAATGAGAGGGTTAATAATACTCTGACATTTAGTTTGTGACAATTTATATAAAAAAAACACTTGTATTAACTGAATATCAAATTCTTTAAATGAAAAATGGCATGTTGTTTAATAGCTAGGATTTTACAGTTACCTGAAGACTAGATGTTTATTTTGTCCATCTTTGGAATGTTTGTAGCGACAGTCAAAGTATAACGATGCAAAGTTGAAATCCCTGAAAGCCCGAAACGACTACCTTTTGTGTATGGATGCAGCTAATGCAGCAGTTCAGAAGTATTATGTTGATGATCTACCAGATCTCATTGATGTAAGTGTTACACTAATTGTGTCCAAAAATAAAGTCTTGTAAATCTATGTAACGTTATACAGGTGTGGAGTTACTGTGGCTCTTGGGATTTCCTCACACATACTTATGTTTTTTATGTGTATGTAATGTGATCACTTTTTTTCAAAGCAGGAGACAATATTTAACAGAAATTTGTCTGTTTGAAGACAAACTAAATGGTAAGTGTTTTGTGAAACTGGTTATCATGTAAAGATCTACTTTTATATTGAAGGATTTGGGAATTCCATAGAATTTTGCAAGTATTTGTAAAATATATATAATGACGCCCAGTTGTGGGTTCAGTGGCTTAGCATAGATGTAGTGAATGTCGGCATGAACACATAACAACACCCATTCGTGTGTTCAGCAGACAGATGTAGTGAATATAGCCATGAATATGTAATCTAATTGTTTACATTGATAAATAAAATCTGAGCAATTTCTCAGAACCATTTCATTTCTCTGCAAACAGCACTTATAATAGTAAAGGCAATATTAGCAATAATGTGGTGATTAAAGACAAAAAAGTCGCTGGTAAGTATCAGGCATTGACTTCAGCCAGAGCAGTATTGTGGTGATAAAACTTGTTACATACTTTTCAGTATGACGAATTGACTAGAATACAATGCTGTAGTGATAAAAATTATCAAATACTTTGACTCTAGCAAAGCAACACTATGATGATTAAAAAAAAGAAATGTTAAATACTTTTTAGTATTGAGAAATGACTGGAAAACAAAATATAAGTTACTGTGAATAGTCACCTTTCCGTAACAGTGTCAGTACAAGAAACTATCAAAATGGTAAAGTGTTTGAGTCAACATTATCTTACGTTCAACAGCACTACAACTATAAAATAATTTTAGTCGTTATGCCAAGTGATGTTTTTCAACAATTACTTAAAAAACAAAGAATCGTCTGACATTTGAAGGATCTTTATTTATAATTTCCTCTATAGTTGACATTACTTCCCGGAGACGGCTTGAATGGGTAATGAAGAAAAACTTTAATGACGAGGAACCCACTTTGAGACTAATAATGGTTATCGAATAGGTGTACTTACGTTCCAAATTACTAAACCAAGCTAACAAGATGGGATGTAACAGTTAATTATAATCCTGAAAACTTATATATATGTATATTGAATTTTACTTTTTGCTTGCTCATTATTTTGGTTTGCAAGACATATATTTCGGAGATTTTCGAACAAAGTCAATATATGTATCCCAATACTGCAATGGTCACTGGGGGGGGGGGGGTTAGGAGCTTTTGGCTATGTTTGGGGAATATCTAATAACACTGAAAAACAAACAAGCTAGAAACACATTGAAATTAATATCAGAATTAAACGTTGAAGAAATTAAGCCAGCAGGTTCAACGTAATAATTGTGTGTCAACTTGGATCTTTTCACTTCACATCACGTTTATAGAGTCCATACGTTAAAAAGTATCAAGTCAAAAATGTTAATAGCTTGAAGAAATCCTAATATGAAGATTAAGTAAGTTAATCAATCTTATGGACTATAATGTATACAAAAAAATAATAATAATGATACAGCTAAGACGTACACGTAACCTCGTTGTAAGAGAGTAACTAATAATAATGATACAGCTAAGACGTACACGTAACCTCGTTGTAAGAGAGTAACTAATAATAATGATACAGCTAAGACGTACACGTAACCTCGTTGTAAGAGAGTAACTAATAATAATGATACAGCGAAGACGTACACGTAATCTCGTTGTAAGAGAGTAACTAATTATATTGCTTTTTAACTTCTTCCTTGTCAGTTTTTTTTTAATTTCGTGCAAAGCTACACGAGGGCTATCAGTAGTGGCCGTTTCTAATTTAGCAATGATAGAGTAGAGGGAAAGCAGCTAGTCAACACCACTCACCGCCAACTCTTGAGCTACCTTTTTGGTAACGAATAGTAGGATTAACTGTTACATTAAAACGCAACCACGGCTGAAATAGCGGTGACGGGGATTCGAACATACAATCTGCAGATTTCGAGTCCAGCTACATAACCCCCATGCCATGCTAGGCCGTCTTTTTTTCTTTGGAAATGAACCCCCAAAAAAGGCAGTATTTTTAATTCGCTTTTTGTTAACTTATCGTAATACATGATAACATGGTAAATTCGGGCAAATAATTAAAAATACGTCGATAAATGGTTTGTTCGAATTAGCTCGGAGAAATATTTATTGAATCATAGAATTATCTCGGGGAAATCACGGAAATGGTAAATGCTTTTGTATGGCAAATCATCTTTTTTAGGTGTAAAGTGTATAAAAGAAATGAACCAAAATATACGAATTTACGTCCTTAACCCTATCGCCCCGGTATCCTTTATTGCGCATGACACAAGGTTTTAGTACTTTACGTTCAACATTTTATTAAACTACCCTTTGTTTATGTTATACCAATTAGAATAGTATAAAATCTTAGCTAATAATTCATATCTTAATAGTATACAAGTTTTAAGTTCTTAATTCTACAAGGCAATATTTAATAAAATCATTAATTTCCACTGGTGTGACTCTTAGCATGTCATCATCCCTATTTTATCCACCACTCCTTGAAAAAGTACGAAATTAAACGTAAATTATTCTCTATGTTTATATATATATATTTATATTACACAACAGCTGAGTTAAGTGTGAAGATTTAGAATAATTTTAAATCTAAAGACCTTTGTGAGTCGTTAAAGGTCGGGCAGTCTTTAGCTATGAGTAGACTTTCTTTAATGTAGAAGTCAAGGTCTGAAGATGCTGTGGTGATGATAGAGAAATCATTAATGAAATATTGTGACCTGTGGTTTCAGAATGTGAACGAATGGATAAGTGACTGGGTTTAAATAGTGGATGGTCGGTTCTGTTAGATACTCTTAAATGTTCACAAACTCTAGTTTTTAAGTGGCGTTTCGTTTTACCAATGTACGTGACCTTACATTCACTATACGTATACACGAGCCATAAACGTAGAAGTTTAGGTACTTGATCTTTGTACTGAAATAAGTGTTTAATGCGGAGGCTAGGTCTGTATATTATTCTCAGCTGAATTTGAGGGTAGAAGGTTTTTATTAGGAAAAAGGGTTATTTTTTAATTGGTAGGGATTGCGAATCCATAAAAGGAAGGGAGAAAATGGGGGGAAATTTGGGGACGGTGAGTACATTGGCTGGTGGTTGGAATTTGTTGTTTAGGAAATTGCGTGTAATATTCGTTTTATATTTATCAACCGTCTTCATCTTCATTATTGAAGACATAACACCTTTTAGTTGGTAGGCACTTTCATATAACTCCCAATTTCAGTTGAATGAGGACACTTATACTCTGTACCACATGGTCTCACATGTTGAAGCTCTGGAAGATGAATTCAGCAGTTCACGGAAACGGCATGATAACAAGAATGCAGATTCACTACTCAACATTTTCCAATGCTTCGATATCTTCCACATTCTGGATTCTTGCAGAACATTACCAATAAGGGCCTGGCCTCATAAGACATCCAAGATTCTTTGCTCAATGCTTTTGACTTTGGAAATAACTAGCTACTCACTTTCGCGGGAGAAAGGCTGATTCATGAAAACGAAATTTGGTTGAGAGAAAGTTTCACACCAAAATGTTCAGAAACAATCACCAAACCTGTGATTCTTTGTACGAAGTGATGACACATAATGGAGAAAATGAAGACACCCTTAAAACAGACAGATATATACTACAGCATCGAGTTCTGTGTATAAGAGACATCATGATGTTGACCTGTCAGAGGTGCTATAGCATGAGCTTTTCACAGTACTATTGTCACTGACACATAGACAAATTTCTCGTTGAGAACTGGAAATAAATGTGTGCTAGTTTCTTGCCCCCAAAACAAATAGGTATATCTTATCATCGATTGACAAGGCCTTGTAGCTTCCATTGGAGTCGTTTAGGATGCTAAGACGTTTGGAAGTTTTGTTCAGGAGTTCTAAACTCTGATAGAGCAAACAAAAGAATCGATGTTGTATTTGACCAATATGACATTATTTCCATAAAGAATGAAATCAGACAGAAAAACAAAACACCAAGCCATCTCATTGAGTGATAGAACACGGAAATCTTCCCCTCCTTGTAAATTGGAAGAACTTTATGGCATTATCTGACAGCAAGGCAGACCTGACAAAATTTTCAGCTTTGGAGCTAGTTGCAAAGGCACAAAAGTATAAATACTTTGTGGTAGCAGGAGCATTTGCAGACTATTAGAAGTGAGATAATTGAATAACAGGTTGGATGTAATACCTCTGCATGCTTCCCACTAAGAGTACAATGCATGAATCGTCCTACATGCAGTGAATGTTCCTCATGAAACAGTTGTGATTTCTTGCAGAGACACTGATGTCTTGGTACTTTTACTGGCACATCTACCTACACTGACTTCGAAAGAGCTTTGGATCAGACTAGGAACATGTGTAAAGATAAAGACATAAATGTACGGGAACTTATAAACATTTACCACTGTATTGTGAGACTGTATTATTATATTTTCATGCTCTGACAGGCTGTGACAGTACATCCCACTTCAACAACTATACGATGTTTTCAGCATGAAAAGTGTTTATTAACAATCACAGCCTGTTAAAGGGTTTAGGCGATGGTGACCTGACACCAGAAAACCTAAGAGATGCTGAGAAATTCGTATGTCACCTGTACAATCATGGCATTGCAATGCCATTCATTCGGATTCGATGCATGATGATCGCAACAATGAACAAACCAGAACCAATGCCATCCTCACGGGATGCATTAAAACAACCTCTGAAAATAGTTCATTATTAGAGCATGGTGTGGAAAAAGTTACTACACCAACCCTGTCATTCCAAACCCTAAACACATGAGATGGACCTTTAAAAACAGAAAATTGGAACCTGTGCTAACGACAATTGATGCCATTCCAAAGTCCTGCAGATATATTTTGTTTTGCAAATACAAAAAAGGATGT